TTCAATCTGTTAATATATTTGGTATTATCCAAAGAAAGTTAGGCTTAGCACATCATATTCAATCTGTTAATATATTTGGTATTATCCAAAGAAAGTTAGGCTTAGCACATCATATTCAACCTGTTAATATATTTGGTATTATCCAACGAAAGTTAGGTTTAGCACATCATATTCAATCTGTTAATATATTTGGTATTATCCAATTAAAGAAAATTAATTTACGATTAACCTTTTCCAGCCTAGTGGAATAAAACTGACTGTCTTTTACTGTATATTAACCCTTTTAATCCAGATCTGACTTTTTTTTTTTATAGAAATTATGTATAGCTTTTTCAAAAAGACTCCACTGTCACCTCTATCTTTGTCAGAGGGGTTCAAGCCTCATCCCCAGTTACAACAGTGAGAGTTCTTTTATACAAAAAATTAACTGCTAAAGAATTAATTGAATAAACAAACACACAGGGAATCCCATTAAGTTAACTTATCACCTATCCCATGGTATAAAAGCAAGAAAAAAAACCATTAGGAATTTTCATTATTTCAAGGAGAACTTGAAAGTAAAAGTTTAAAAATGTGCAATCCACATAATGAAGGGAGGGAGCTATTGCCATTTTAATTCTGTAAAAGCATGAGATACTGAGCTGGAAAGGAATAATGCTGTTTTTTTGTGCTTTATAAGATCTGAATATCGCACATAACATTTATTAATTTTAGGATATTTATATCGATTGTCATGGTTACTCGAAGTTTGTGAGATGTTTGCAGTATACTGTTGTATGTGAGAATTATACTGAAGGTATTTATTTCTTTAGGTCAGTTACAAGACATTCCACTTTCAATAGACAGTGACATGGCAACCATAGTAAAAGCTATGGCAGGTCCTGAATCAGGACTAGATGTTAGGGACCGCATGTGGCTCAAAATAACTATACCAAAAGCCTTCATTGGTATGTAAGATTGTTTTAGAAATTATGAACAATGAAATTTATGATGTTAATGAGCTTACAATAATTAGTTGATGCTAAATGTACAAGTAAAGAAGCTTGTAAGTAATAATTGTTATGTATTAAGGTACAAAAATAGATAATGTTGTTCACCATTCAATCTGTTTTAAAACATCAAGGTACGGTATTAATCAGCTTTTTCTCATGTTCAGGTTTCTTTAAACAATGGTGATTTTTTTTTTTTACTGTTTGCCTGCAGGTGCCGACATTGTCGACTGGCTATTTAACCACGTTCAGGGTTTTCAAGACAGACGAGAAGCTCGTAAATATGCCACACAGATGTTGAAAGCAGGGTATATTCGGCACACAGTGAACAAGATAACATTTTCTGAACAGTGTTACTATGTATTTGGAGATCTGTGCAGTAGTAAGCCTTAAATTATTTTGAACCTAATAGGTTTAGTATCGTTAGAGAGAAAAGTGTAAGTTAACTGTCATGGAAAGATACGTTTTCATATTCTTATTGACAAGTTCTGATTTTCAAAAAATTGAAAAATGGATGGTGCTGCTATGTAAATAAAAGTACCACTTAATTTTATTTGGTTCTTTTATGATTCTTTACTTTACTGACAAGTATTGTAGATTTAATAATGTGGACATGGGAAGGTTTTAAGTGTGATAAAATATGATTTTTTACTTTGTTTTTCTGTCAAAATATCTGTCAGTAGCCAACGAGGAGCATTATGTTTGAATGTATATATATAGAGAGAAATCTAGGTAATACAACAAAGATATCAACTGCAGCTTGTTTGTAAGTTGAGAGGAAAATATTTATTTCATCATGTGAATGTTTGATTTTATCAGTTCTTTTATTTGCTTCCATTTGGAACCCTAAGTTAACTTATTTTAAAGTGGGGGTTCTATCACTATTTGTTAAAATGGGTATTTGTCTAACAAAAAGTAAAGATTTCTTGTTAATAGTATGTAACAAATAACTGTTGATGTTGAACTTCTGATTGGTATTTAACGCTTGCAAGTTTTGGTTCAGCGTATCTTTAACACGTGAATCAATCATAAAGTTACGTATTTGTATTTTCCTTCTTCTAGACTTAACGGCTCTAAAACTCAATGAAGACAATTCAGTGAGTGAAGCAGATCGAGATACTTTGGGACCACTCCCCCCACCAACGGTCCAGTCCCCATGGGGGACACAGATGCCTTATTCTGGTAGCTATGTTCCCCAAGCCACTGGTTTTATTCCAATGCCATTCAACTACACCAATGAGGCTCCTGCTGCTACTAGCCAAGCTCGGGAGGGTAGTATTAAAAGTGGCTCAGGTATTAGGGTTTTTCTTCTTAATGATATTGAGTCTTATTATGTGAGGTAAAGTTTTCGAAACTCCAAATTTTTATCTTTTTATTTGATCTTTGTATAGCAAGAAGTGTTGGTTTTCAGTCTTCTTCTGTGTTATCTTAACCTTATGGTTACGGGCAACCCAGTTCTGTACATTTCATGAGACTTTGTTAAATTCAAAATTCAATTTAGCAATCTTATGATCAATGTTTGCCAATGAAATTAGCATTAAAATTTATGTTATAGTCCAAAGTTTTATATTATCTAGGTTTTAATTCCTTTATTTCAAAAGAAACCTTAAAGAAAAATTATTAAACTTCAATTTGATGTAAAAGTTTACAGAATTTCTAAACTTTGTAACTTAACTACTTCTTCATGTACACAACCTTCTGTGTATAGATTGAATCTACTTTAATTGCTCTGTTTATACATTCTCCTTTCAAGTTCCTTAGGGCACGGTTGGAGAAAATAAAATATATTTCTTGGAACTCTTGACAGATGCCATGCCCACTGAGTTGCAATTTCTCAGCCAATTATATTTAGTTGAGCTAGGTGTTTATAACCAATAGAAAGACCACATTTTGAAATACAATCATCCAATAGTTATTTTGAAACTGGCACAAAGAATTTCTTAGAGAATTTGTCAAACCACTTTTAGCACTGTTATTGCTTTTGTTCTTGCTATCACTGTAGCATTGTTTCTCACCTATAAATAAGTTAGTTAGATAGACAGTTGAATTTTATTTAGGTTTTATATTTTAGTTAATAATGCGTCAGTTATGTTTTAAAATGCATATTAGAAAGGCTTAATGATTTTTTAAAATATAAGCCAAACTGCCTAGGTTCGTCAGGCTTAACGTAGTAGGCGAATGTCCCAATATTCTGATAAAAGTAAAAGTGTCTTTGCCAATGATGCCCTAATATTGCCCGAGAACTCCTGTTGACGTGTGTCGTGAAAAGTAATAATGCTAAAGGACAGGAAAGAAAAATAAAACATCAAAAATAAACTTTACGTGAAAAATGTAAAAACTTACAATTAAGAATATAACCGAAAGAAGATATTTGATGCAAATTAAAAGATGTGTACAATTTTTACATTTAAACATTTCACTGCACAAATACATTGATGATAATACTCAAAATATTCAGAGTCTGAGTGCAAATAACTATAATGCAAAAAGTAACAGATCTTTAATTAAAACAATCTTGTTCATTTTGTACATAATACTTTAATCTTTAACAATCTTACCAATTGTAGTGAAGATATGTTAAGAAGTTATTATAAGTATTGTTGAACTGTGTGCCATTATCCACACGAGAATGGGTTCAACCATAAGGTTAATCTCATATGCTTGGTTTTTTTATTATTACTTTGTATAGGTATATCTTCAGTCCTTGCTGGACAATACACTTCCATTCAAGTTAACAGTTTATAAAATTGTCCTTTGCTTTTCATACTAAGATAAAAATGTTTCTTTAGGAGGAAGTAGCAATGGAGGAGTTAAGGAAAAAAGTAGAAAGAGTAGTAGCCCTGGAGGTAGTGATTCTGAAATAGCTAGCCAGCGAAGTGGTGGCCAGTTGGGTAAAGTAGCAGACAGCGGAGGCAGAGGTGGTGGAAGCAGTGGAAGCGAACCTAGTCTCAGTATCCGGACATCTCCAAACGTTGCTTGTCTCCAAGCCGTCCCCACGGAACTTGCTGGTAGTAGACAATCGTTTCACAGAGCTATGGACAATCCGTGTGAATATTTTGTTGATGTGATGTGATACACTGGGGATGTTATGTTGATTGCATGCTTGTTTGATGGTGTACTTGTGCATTCTTGGCTTTGTTTGAAATTACACAAACGAGTCTTTGGTTATTAGAAAGAAGTGAGGTGCTATTCTGTGTACAACAGATTGGAACTCTGCATGATTCATTATATAATCTGCAATTTTATTATGGTTTAGTTTAATCACGTGAAAGATAAAGTGCCATGGACTTTTTGTACATATATGTTTGTGTATATGATACGTAATGTCTGTTTTTACCCTGTATGAGAAATTTTGTTTTTCATTATGTACATGAGATTTGAGTTTGATTTGTTGAGTTTTAAGTTCAGTGAAATTCCACAGGAAATGTTGTCTTATTATGTGTCATCTTTTTCTGTCCACTGTGCACAATGTGTTGTGTGTCACATTTTTAAACGTTCTTTATTTTAACAAGGTTACCTTTTAATATATTAATTACACATTTATTTTGTATATATATATATATATTAGCAGTTATTTGGTGAATGTATATTGAATGCAATTTCAATTGTTTGATTTGTCTGGAGCTTAGATTTGCTAACAGACCGTATAAAGTACTTTTGTACTCATGAAAAGTGAAGCTGTTATGGTTCATTAAGTTTTGATTTTGTTAGTTTCTTTTTTTCAAATAACAAACGCATGATATAATCTTAAAATACAAAGAAATGATTTAAAGGAAAAAGAAATATCCAGCCAAACTTTCATCAGTTGACCTTTAATACTGCCAGACAGTCGTTTGCCCACAGTGGTCAGTTTCTTCACTTACAGTAGTTTTAATCATATTCCCTGTATTATTTTTGTATTGTCAGCCTACTGTTGGTTTCATTACATACAAGCCCGTTGTTAACTAATAATGTTTTTAATGCGTACAAGACTGTCGTATCAAATACGTGTTATGACGGTAGCAAGCTAATTACAAGTACGGATCAAATGTGGCTTAACTAATACTTTGATTTTACTAAGACCTTCACTTGATTAAACTGTGTCAAGTTTGTTATGAATGCTTCGCATAAAACTGTAATGTGATAAATTTCCATGATTTTTTTACTTACAATTTAATTTCTGTAGTGCATATTGGTGAACAGAAGACATTTTAATACTAGAAATAAGTGGCTTTATAGCACGAAATTGTTGTTTTTATTTAATTAGATAACGTTTCGCTTTACAGCTTTTTCAGGAGCTTTTCATAAAAAAAAAAAAAACCAAACTTACAGTACGAAGTTTCAAAAGTTTTTTTCCTTGAAGCTTTGTATTGTCAGTTTTGGTTAGTGTTTTAGTGGCTCCTGAAGAAGCTGTAAAGTGAAACGTTGTCTAATTAAATAAAAATAACAATTTGGTGTTATAAGGTTATTTATTTCTAGTATTAAAATGCTTTATTTAGTTTGAAAAAACAAAAACATCATCTCACCACAGTCGTGAAGTTTTATTTAAAGAAAAATGAATTTGTTTGTTTAGAGTAGGGTTGTCAAACATTTTAAATCCAGAACCCCCTTTTTGTGAGAGTGAATAATTCCAGACCCCCACCTCCACCCCTATTTGCCAGATACACAAAAATTAAAATCAACAGAGAATAAGATCAAATCTAGGAACAGATGCTAATATAATAATACAGTTTTACACATACAGGATATTTTTAAAATTCCTTTATAACTTTAACTCAAAGAAGACAATTTGGGGAGTGAAGCAGATCAAGATACTCTAGGACCACTCCCCTCACCAACGATTAAGTCCTCAGTGGGGACACAGATGTCTTACTTTGGTAGCTATGATTTCCAAACTTCTGGTTTTATTTCAACGGCTTACTATCAAGATCAGTAAGTTATTAAAAGAATAACCTGAAAAAGGAATTCTTTCTCACCAATTAAAACAGTGCAAAGGATGAGAAGAAGAAACAACTTTCTTTGAATATATTAAAGTTTATTTATGTATGTGAACAAAGTAAACCATGTGCTCACTCTTTGATTAGAAAAAATGAGTTTTTACATGTAGATGTTTTTACTTAAATATGTTTCACTGGTTTTATTCTACAACTTGAAGTTGTTCTCTTATATCAAAAGTAGTTTTTACACATGCTGTAAATGTATATATAAACTTAAAAGAGATTTGTAGCATCTTTTCAGTTTGTTTGGAGCCTTCCTCAGGGTGTGCGGTCATAACCCACAGTTTCAGAAAACCTGGTTTTGAATCAGGGTGTTCAAAAGGTCTGGAACCACAAGCACTTCAACAAATTTTACAGAATGTGTTCCACGTGTTGTCCATGTAATTAGGAACAAGTTTTGACTAACAGCAGGATTAACTCGACCTTCTTCGTGCTTTGACGGCACCATAATCGGTCACAAAAACCGAAATTAAGAAAAGCTGCAAATCACCTACGGTTCCAGACCTATCGAACACCCTGTATATTTTTGCTTTAGATGAATGTGTTGTTTTATGGAATTTCATCAAGCAGCTGGTGCTAGATGTAAAATGATTTAAGATGTAAAACTTACCTCATTTACTAATGCCGAATTTGTTTCAGGGTGATTTAACTTTTGGAAAGGATAGATGTTTGGAAGGCCTTTGTTGCGACAACTCTAAGGACAAATCTGCATCGTTTTGTACCTTTCATAGTTACTGCATTTTTCTTTCTGTATATTTTTTTCATGTCCAGTACTTGTAACAAAATATAAGAAATTACTTTGACCTGAAATTTGAAGATGAGACATCCAGTCAAAAGCAATGCAGTAATCATTTTATGCTTCAAATCTTGGCAGAATGTTAACGTGGTTATCTACTGGTAGTGAAATAATGCTATCTGTACAGATTGGTGTGTGTGTGTAATGACCAAGTGTTGTTTAATTTGGTATTTTTTAGGTGCACAAAATCGGTAATGTTAATTGTTTATTACAGAATATGTAATTTATATCAGTTGATCCAACAAGTCTTACTGACACCTTTCTTTCCTCTGTAAGTAACCAGAATTTTACTGTAGTGTGTTGTATTAATGTTGTTCTTATATTCTGTTGTTTTCTCTTTCATGCTTATCAGTCGAGGATGATATACAGGAATACAGATTTACAGACCAGGGAGTGGTGTAATTGTAAAATATACTCAATATGTTGCTGCTCTTATGTGTTCAGAGTTTTGAATTCCCCTCTATTTATTTAAAATATAATAATTGTGTAAGACGTTTGTTGCTGATATGACCTGATCCCTTTCCCATGTGTTGTTTCATTTGGAAATTAAAGATTAACAAGCCGTAAACAAGTATAATTCTGTAAGACCCTAACTCATGATGTAAAGGTTTATTTAAACTTTGTTTGATCTATCCTGTACAGGTGATTTAATGTGGAAATTGTAATAGTCTAGCCATAAACAAGTATAATCCTGTAAGACCCTAACTCATGATGTAAAGGTTTATTTAAACTTTATGTTTGATCTATCCTGTACAGGTGATTTAATGTGGAAATTATAATAGTCTAGCCATAAACAAGTATAATCCTGTAAGACCCTAACTCATGATGTAAAGGTTTATTTAAACTTTATGTTTGATCTATCCTGTACAGGTGATTTAATGTGGAAATTATAATAGTCTAGCCATAAACAAGTATAATCCTGTAAGACCCTAACTCATGATGTAAAGGTTTATTTAAACTTT